GTTCCGTTCTCTTTTTACTTTACTGCCAAGTTGCTGTAATTTGTTTTTTAAGATGAAATTGCTTACTTATTGCTCACTTTTGTGCATCGATTTTCTTTACTACAGCAGAGTAAGAGATTGATTTAGTAAATTCTGATATTTTGCAATCAGTTTTCCCTTTTTTTCAAATATCTGGTTTTAGAATCCTTTTTTTCATGAGTGATTTTTATTTTCTCAGAAGTAAAAGTTTTTATTATCACGTTCTGATGTAAGTCTATATCTTACATGTATACAGAGGTATGTGTATACAAGGATGTTCCTTGTAGCACTGTCTATATATTTAAATACACTTAAAATATATTTAAAATGTCGGTTGATAGGGAATATTCTAAATGTCTATTGGTAGACAGTTAAAATATGGTGGATTCATTCTAGAAGTATGTACAACACTTACAACATATACACGGGGACTTCAAAAAGTTTGTGGAAACCTGAAATGAAGAAATAATGAAAATTTCCCATGAGTTTTTTGAAATACCCTCATGGATATGTGTTGGTAGGTCTGTAGTTTGGGCTATAGTAAAATCTCCAGGATACATTGTTAAGTTAAACCAGGGAGTATATGTATCGGTGTGCTGCCCTTTTTTGTTAATGCACACACAGATACCCTTCCTCACACATGTTGTTGTTAAGTTCCACTGAGTTAGTTCTGACTCATAGAGACCCTGGATAGTGTTTCCAAGGAGTGCCTGATAGGTTAGAAGTGCTGACCTTGCAGCTTAAACTGGCCTTGCTGTCCAGTGCTTCTCCTACAGCACCACACCAGGACTCCTCTCCACACATACAGCCACATAAAAATAGTCTGTAGAAACATATATATGTCATTAAATTCGTGTTTCAAAAGATATACAGCAAACGAATGGCAGTTGCTAGCTCTGAGGAATAAAACGACATTTTTGAGGGGGTAGGAGCCTATGTTCAGCTTTAGCTATGTGTTTTTTATTTTTAGTATTGAGACTATATTCACATTTTGTACATATCTATGTAAATATATGGATCCTGGTGTGGCGCTGTGGTCTAATGCATCAGACTGCAAAGTCATCTGAACTGCAAGGTCGGTGGTTCAAGCTCACCAGCTGCTCCTTGAAAACCCTATACAGGGTCGCTCTAGGTC